GGATTCAAGGTCCTCATGTAAAATAGTGGACAAGCTTGTGAAAACCACACTTTTTTACATCTACCTTTCCAAAGTTTTCTTGAGCGTTTTTAATTGATGAGCTTTCATAACATATTTACAGATCAAAGAGTGCTTACTACATTTTCTTGTCTTCCTGTCTTTAGGGCTGACCAAAAGGCACCTTGCATCCAAGTCTGGAACTCCCTAAAGTTACATACACACAGACACCACAGCCTAGGCTTTGCTTGATTACCTCAAGTTTTCTTCCTTAGAGACCCTTTAGTCCTGGCAATTCCAAGGAGGGAATGAATGTTCACCCTGTTCATAGTGCTCAGGGGCCATGAAACCTTGGGTTGGATGAGTAACTGGTGGTACTACCCTAACCTCCCAACCTAGGGGAGACTCTTCCCTCAACAGTCTATTTGAGAGTGAAGGAAAGAAAAACTGTCAGCTATTTGTTTTTTAATTCTCTTCCTTCCTGAGTTTTGTCTGGTTTTATTTATTCTCTGTATTTAGTCTATTTACAACTACTTCCTGTCTCCCAGCTGTTTTATTTCTCAGAAGTTAGACTTCTAGTTTGGAAGCATTGATGAACCCTTCTTAGATAAGGGAAAGTGTCCCTAAAATGAGAGCAGAGGTCCCTGGAAGCCTTATGTTAGAGCACATTGTATGTTGTGTCTTGCTTTTCCCAACTTTTACAACCTGCATGTCAATCATGGCTGTGCCTCATAATTCACTGGCTCTGGAATGAGTGCCTTTGATTTTAGAAAAGGGATATGGTGACAAAGCTGAATAGCGAGTGAAACATATTAAAATTTAAAAGGGTGTAGTTTGCATATGTAGTCAGCAGCTCTTTGGCTTTATTTCTCATGCTTTTCTGGGGTTGTTCACTCTGCTTTAAAATGAAATATTTATCTTCCTTGCTCTTATTTTGGTGTTTACACAAACTGGTTTAGCAACTTGGATTGGCTTGCCTGTGGGGTAAATGAGTGTTTATTTTGTTTGGAAACTTTCCTGGAAAAAACTTTAACCTCTTTGTATTAAAACCAAGATACGAAAACCTCAGAGATTATAAAGTAACCTTTAAATGTAGAGAAGCAGCCATGCATTTAATAATACTTGTTTCCTCTTTGCCAGTGAAGTGTCTTATAATAAAGATGAATTCAGAAACTTTTAAGGTTATCCACAGATGAGGTTTTCCCCAGATGGGATAGGGAGAGTCACAAAAGGAAACTAGTAGATGATAATTATTTTTAATCCTCACCTAAGGATATGTTTATTCATTTTTAGACACACACACACACACACACACACACACACACACATACATCAATGTGAGAGAGAAACATTGATCAGTTGCCTCCTGTAAATGCCCCAACTGGGCATTGAACCCATAACCTAGGTATGTGCCCTGACCAGGAATTGAACCCATGACTTTTTGGTATACAGGACAATGCTCCAACCAACTGAGCCACCTGGCCAGGTTGTGAGGGTAATTTTTTGAACATTAGTCAAAATTCAAAGGGAATGATAGTTTAAGACTAACTTGGAGTATAGTGTTTTAGATTAGCAACTTGTTAGAAATCTACCCTTTTTTTGCAAGCTATACTTATAAACCATTTTAAGTGGAATCCTATAACAGTATTATGTTCTTAGGTATTTTCATTACTTTGTTCCCTCCGGAAGTTACTGGGACGTGAGTGTAAGGGTGCCCAACTCTGGTGGCTGTGCAGTAAAGTTGCTTAATGAATGCTTATCTTCTTAGACTATCTGCAGTAGGAAGTAAATAGTTGCTTATCTTTAAGTCCTTGCTTTGTTCTCTACATGATTATTTCGCTTTAAGGATTTCCTTCAGGCATTTTGGGTTCACTCAGTTAATTTGTCCTAACATCCTCTCTAGCCTCAAACTTCCCATCCTTTTGGGTTTATTTAGAATTTTTGTAAGAGTTTATTTGAGCAAACCAACGATGTATGCTGGGGGGGAGAGATCTCAAATGCTCCCACACTTTCCGTCCTTTGGGGTTTGGTGCCTGTTCTCTTTCTGAGTTCTGAGCCTTTGCTCCTGCTATCCTTGTAGCCCCTTCTCATTCCTTTCCCTACTAATTGCCTCTTTGCTAGCTCCATCTCCTAGGAAACTACTCAGTAAATCAGAGCACGTCAGCTTTTGAAAACTGAGCCCTTTTGAGAAATAACTCCCTTGGTCCCTAAAGATTCCAAGAGCCTCTCTAGAGTGTAGAAATATGCTCTCGAGAATTGTTCATCTGAAAGGAAGCACAAGCTTCCAGTAAAGTCAGTATTCAAACTTACCCATCTTCTTTTTTTCATTATCTTGTATATTTTCATATTATACATTTGCATGAGTTGACAACCTCTTTGTAGAGACGGGTAGGTGGCACCTATAGTCTAGACCATGTCTGAAGTTAAATGTACTTGCCCAGTGTTTCCAGACACTCCCAAAGCAAATTCCTTTTCTCCTCCTCAGCCTGTAGGGTTATCCTAACTCCAAAAAGAGGAGTTGTTGTTGTTGTTGTTGTTGTTGTTGAAATTTCTCTATAGAAGCCTAGCAAAATAAATTACTGGAAGAAAAGGTGTTTGTTATATATCACTGCTTTTAAAAAGGACAGAGGACACCTACTAACTGTAAAGAGTTTGTTGGTGCTGCTGTTGTTGGGTTTGGTTTGGTTTTGGTTTTGTAATAAAAGATACCCATTTGTTTTATTTGGGAATTCTTTTTATATCTAGTTCAGAAACTGGAATGAGGCCACAGGTAGAACTTTATTTGTTTCTGATCTTTTGATTTCTAGGCAGTGTCCTGGTTTTTAAAAGTTCCTTTTATGTAGTTATGCTATGAAAATTAAAATGAAAAACATTTTAAAGAGCAATACACGTGTGTGTGTGTGTGTGTGTGTGTGTGTGTGTGTGTGTGTGTGCCCGCGCCCATACACACACACAAGTAAAGGATTGTTCTGGGTCACTCTGGTTTGTCAGTACCATATTGAAATTGTAGCCAATCTGAATATTGGGAATAACATGCAGATGAAGAAATAACTATGGGTCAGGTTTGGTGTTTTGGAGATTTATCTTATATGAAATGTATCTTGGAAACAGCTTTGTTTATAACCATTTTGCTTTTGTTAGTGATGACAACTGAAACTGCATATCATAAATTTGCTTGATTCTTTGGTTTGGCTAGAATACTTACTCCCCTATCCAAGGGGTGGCAGCAGAGCACACACCATACTTTACCTGGCACTGTCATTAATCAACTATGCTCATTAGGAAAAGTATCACACAGGTTTTGAACCAGCCTCTAGGTTTTAAGTAGAAAACCCAACAGAAACAATGCTGGTTTGGAGCTATGAGTTGGCAGTCTGAGAGTAACTATTTTGGTAGTGGAAAGCTTGTCTGCTTGTAAAGAAAACTTGTCTGACAAGAGGAGGTGTGGAATTTACTGCTAGGAGAAATCTTTCAGAAGGCGGGGTCTTTTGTAAATGAAGTCCTGTTCTAGTGCTAATGCTGAGGAGAAACCAATTCCAGAATACTTATTTGTGAAATTAAGTTTACTATATGAAGATGTTTCCATTTTCAAACACCTATAATTACAAAGCTAATATAGGGGTTTTCTCTAATTTTTGTTACTGTTCCCCTGACTCCTTCACATCTTTCTTATTAGTCACTTGGCACATAAGCCCATTTGACTTGACATTACACCCATCTTACTAATTTACTTTTCTTGCCAGCTTCTACTGGACACTGGATATGTCAGATTCTATTAAAGTTGATGCGTTGGACTACTGTGAAATTATGCAAGCTCAGTAATTAGTGGAAAGTTTAGGCATTTTTTGACAGTCTTCCCAATTACTTAAAGAAAGCCCTCACCCGTTTCCCCATGATACTAATTCTTACAGTGATTAAATTTGTCATAACCTTTGAGGGCATGATCTATACCAATCTCAGGAAGTAACAAGTAGAAACATTTTGTAAAATGATTATCATTATTTTAGCATGCTTTGGCTCAGATCAGCTTCTGCCTTCAGAATATAAATCAGCTAAATGTACACTATAGGTAGTATTAAAAAGCCAGCCATTAGATCTGGTTGGGGCAGATTTGGGGCTTTGAATTTCCTAAGTATATGTGTGGTATAGATTAGTTTCTGTGTATATTGCTACCTGTTCTTATAAAATTGATAATTTAGTTTTTTTTTTAAACACAAATTAACATTTCTCACAAAGAACCATTCTGTGGCTCTTTTAGTAAGCTGTCAGGTTAAAGACTAACAGACTTTAAAAGGAAGGTATCCTATTGTGTACTGAGTCTTTCACGTTGATTTTTTAAATAACAGCTTTATTGAGATATAATTTACATACTATAAAATTTACCCCCTTTTTAAAGTATACAATTCACTGGGGTTTTTTGTCTTTGTGTTTGTTCTCCACCCCCCCACCTCCCCAGAGTTTTGCAGTGATCACCACTGTGTAATTTTCATCAGCCCAAAATAACCACCACCACCCCCCAATCACCATTACCAGTTATTCCCCATTCCACGTTGGCAATCACTCTCGTTTTTCAGTGTCTAGGTTGCCTGAAGTCCACTTGATCTAAATAATCTTGTAAATAGTAATTTTCCATGCTTTTGGTTGTTAATGAGAGAGCTCATTACATTCATTACATTTGCATTTCGTAAACTAAGTAGAAGTCAGAGATGAGAACAATACCTGAAGGAATGCAACTTACAGGAACCTTTTTTGAAAAGGAACCACTTAGACTGGATCTCTCCAGATGGTTTTACTGTACAGCCAAGGTTAAGAGCTACTGTTAGAAAGGAAATGTGTGTTTTAGCTCTTTGATTACACTGGTATGGTCCCTATCTTCCTGTGCACTTTGAGAGTGACCATTTTAAGGAAATCTCACTCTAGTTGCCTTTACTAACGATACGCATGAATTTAATCTCTTCACTTATGTGGTTCTTGATCCTCTGATGTTATTCTTTCTTCCACAGCAATGGCACAAGTATGATATCATTGATCATTCCTCCCAAAGACCAGATTTCACGAGTGGCAAAAATGTTAGCTGATGAGTTTGGAACTGCATCTAACATTAAGTCACGAGTAAACCGCCTTTCAGTCCTGGGAGCCATTACATCTGTACAACAAAGACTCAAACTTTATAACAAAGGTAATCTGGAGCTTGATCATTTTCCCCCTGCCTTGTCTGTCTTGGTTATATTGGTATGTTCTACTTTGATCCTGCCATGATGCTTTTGGTCACTAATGTTTCCTTTAACTAACTTTCTCAGCAGTGTCTGTTTGACCTTGGAATTTAACCTTTTTTGTTCTTGTTTGAAAGTTAAGTAGTATTAGTATTAAAACATCTCAAGTAAGTTTCAAAATCCAGGATAGAATTCTTCCTAAAAGATTTATAGACATTTCTGCTTTATTTAAATTACGATTTAAATGGTATGGGCTGTAGGCTATGGATATATTTTCTGTTAATGGAGGGAAATTAGCTGTGGGTTTAAGTAGAGAAATCGTTTGTGTTCTTTGCAGTACCTCCAAATGGCCTGGTTGTTTACTGTGGTACAATTGTAACAGAAGAAGGAAAGGAAAAGAAAGTCAACATTGACTTCGAACCTTTCAAACCAATTAATACATCATTGTATTTGTGTGACAACAAATTCCACACAGAGGTAAGAAGTTCAAGCATGGAATATTTTCATCACGCCACAAAGAAATCCCATACCGCTTAGCTATTGATTAATCACTCCCATTCTCCCACCCCAAGATCCCTTCTCTGTGGGCTGCCACTAATTTTTTACCTCTAGATTTGCTTATAGTGACCCTTTGTGACTGGCTTCTTTCACTGAGCATAATGTTTTCAAGGTTCATCTATAATGTGGCATGTAGCTATACTTCATCCCTTTTTATTACTAGGTATTTGCCACATTCATCTATCTGTTCATCATTTGATAGGCATTGTATTTTCACTATTTGGCTATTGTGACTAATGCTGCTCTGAACAATGTGTACACGTTTTTGTGTGACCATGTTCTTATGTGGGGGGAAGTATATACCTAAGAGTGGAATTTCTGGATCCTATGATAACTATGTTTAACTTCAGGAATTGCCAGACTTTTAAAAATAATTGTATCTTTTTATAAGTCTAGCTATTTTCTTTTTAAAAAAGATTGATCGACTGATTTATATTTAGAGAGGGGGTAAGGAAGGGAGAGAAACATGGATGTGAAAGGGACACTTCAGTGTAACAGAGAAACATTAATTGGTTGCCTCTCCACACACCCTGACCGGAGACTGAACCTGCAACTCAGGCGTGTGTTCCCTGACCAGGAATCGAACCAGTGACCTTTTGGTTCCCAGGCTTATCTCAATCCACTGAGCTACACTGGTCAGGGCTAAGGCTGGCTGTTTTCAAAAAATAAGAGTTTACATTTATAATGACACACTGAAAGACATCATTCAGCATGTTTGAGTAAAGTGCTAGTAAGCTAGGTTTAGAGAACTAATTAGAGATGAAGAAATAATTGGCTATGTGATCTCCCTTTCACTCTGTATCTGTGATACTTGACTATATTCGTTGAACCCTTTGTTTTCATGATCAGAAAAAATCTTTAGTAACAAGACTGCAGGAGTTTTTTTTCCCACATGAAATTTTTGAGTGACAGAGCTGCCAAAAGATGAACTTTAAGGGTGGAAAAGAAACCTCATTAGAGTGACCTAAATCAGTCAACAGTAGACCAATCAGGAATTCGCAGCTGGCTCCTGGTTCAGTCTCTTGGCTTTTCATCAACATAGGGGAAAATCTCTACAGTGGAATTAGAACTGACATTTGTCAACATAGTTGCAATGGGTGATTTTTGCTAACTCAACAGGAAGACCAATTCCAGTTGGATCTTGATTGGTTGCATAGATGGTTGAGGCTGTTCTTCTCTTGGGTATCACGGTCTCCTTCCAGCAAAAACCTTCATTGGGAGGTTCTCTGCCACCCTTCCCCACTTACCTGTGTCTGATTGGATGAAAGCAGATTTTGAATCTTGTTGAATTAAATAGTACCTGATACTCATGTCATCTAGCTTTAACTTACTAAGTTAGCTTCATCTTCCAAAGTACCATTTATTCTTGCCAGCTTTATTTTCACTTTAGTTGGTATGTTAATAACTAGATATGAATGTGGCACCCTCTGTACAACACAATTTATGTCCTGTTTAATGTGGATAATTTTACCCTTTTTTTTTTTTTTTAGGATTTTATTTATTTATTTTTAGAGAGAGGGAAAGAAACCAATGTGTGGTAGCCTGTTACGGGCCCTCTACTGGGGACCTGGCCCACAACCCAGGCCTGTGCCCTGACTGTAATTGAACGAGCAACCCTTTGGTTCACAAGCCAGCACTCAGTCCACTGAGCCACACCAGCCAGAGCGCAAAATTTTTAATGTGCAATATTTATGTCTTAGTGCTAATTATCAAGCATGGTTTGTTTGATTCTTCGGGATTAATTTGCTTTCTAGTCAATTCTTAAAGAAGCTATTTTCTTCTTTAGTTAAAATGGAATGGATAAACAGGCTGTCACCTAGCAATTAGTTATCTACCAAGCTTATGGTATTCAGGCTCCGTTATGAAAATTCTTGCCCATCTATGAGTCTCAGGACTATTTAACTATTTGCTGTTTCAGGAGGCAGAAATACAGGGATATTAAGCTAGCCCAGAAGGAGAGCTTTCCCCATAAAAATTCAGAATCAGTAGCTATAATACTTCTTAAGTAAAATTGAGTTTTGTTGACAAATAAGTGCTGGTGAGTATATGGAGAAAAGGGAACCATAGTTCACTGTTGGTAGGAATGCAGACTGGTGCAGCCATCGTGGAAAATAGTGCAGAGCTCCGTCAAAAAAGTTAAAAATGAAACTTCCTTTTGACCCAGTGATCCCACTTCTGGGAATATATCCTAAGAATCCTAAAATACCAATTAAAAAGAATGTATGTACCCCGATGTTCATAGCAGCATTATTTAAAATAGCCAAGATCTGCCCTGGCTGGTGTGGCTTAATGGATGGGCATCCTGCAAACTGAAAGTTTGCCAGTTCAGTTCCCAGTCAGGGCACATGCCTGGGTTGCCGGCCAGTTCCCCAGTTGGGGGTGTGTGAGAGGCAACTGGTAGATGTTGCTCTTCCCCTCTCTGTATAAACAAACAAACAAATAAACAAATAAATAAATAAATAAATTTTGTTTTAAATAAAAATAAAATAGCCAAGATCTGGAAACAGCCCAAGTGCCCATCAGTAGATGAATGTATAAAAAAGCTGTGGTTCATTTCCACATGGAATACCATACGGCCATAAAAAAAGGACATCTTACCTTTTGCAACAATATGTGTGGACCTGGAGATTATATGCTAAGTGAAATAAGCCAGTCAGAGAAAGACAAATATCATATGATCTCACTTGTATGTGGAATCTAATGAACAAAATAAAAACAGAGAGGCGGCTGGATGAAAGAAGGTGAGGGGATTGGCCAAAGAACACATGCATAACCTGTAGACACAACAGTGTGGTCATAGCCAGAGGGAAGGGGGGTGGGGACATATGTAATAGTGTCAACAATAAGTTTTTTAAAAATTGAGCCCTGGCTGGTGTGGCTCAGTGGGTTGAATGCTGGCCTGAAAACCAAAGGGTCGCCGGTTCAATTCCCAGTCAGGGCACATGCCAGGGTTGCAGGCCAGGTCCTCAGTAAGGGGCACATAAAAGGCAACCACACATTAATGTTTCTCTCCCCCTCTCTAAAAATAAAAATTTTAAATAGTTTTCTAAAAAATTGAGTTTTGTATCTTAATATCATTAATGATGCTTAAGACATAGAAGTTAAACATTTCCAAACTAGATCTTTCCATAGACTGTTTCTGGGTTTTGTACTTGTGTACTCGTACTCTAGAGGTGATTTACAAGATACTTGCTGTAATGAGAACTTTTATTAATGTTGGAGTTATTCATGGTAACAAAGTAAACTTTTGGAAGTTAGACTTTCAATTTGAACATTATGTTCATACACTACCATCAGTCTAAATCAACTAGAAAGAATTTGTATCCTGTAACTCTGGATTTTGTAATCATGTGCCCAGGTCAGTTTTCTTGAAAGGCTTCATGTCAATATCATTGGCTTTTTCCTGCATCAGGAATTCAGATTTGTCTGTGTTACATATTGATAGCTGAAGTCTGTAAATTACTTCATAAAATGGTTTTTCTGTGGTATTCATACCATTCTGAGTTGAGTGAAAGGGCTTGTGTATGTCCTTTCAGAATTTGTCTTGACCCTATCAAAGCTTTGGGATTAATTGTATGGTACTTGTGTTTGCTTTTCAGGCTCTTACAGCACTACTTTCAGATGATAGCAAGTTTGGTTTCATTGTAATAGATGGTAGTGGTGCACTTTTTGGCACACTCCAAGGAAATACAAGAGAAGTCCTGCACAAATTCACTGTGGATCTCCCAAAGAAACACGGTAATACAGTAAGAGAATATGAGCCCATTTGCTTTGTGTCTGGCAATAAGGAAACAAGTTGTTTGGGGCGTGTGGGGGGGGGGGCGTCAGATATCTAGATGATAGAGGACAAGTCATGAAATGACTTAGTGGTGTTTATGGCTGTTCTTTGGACAAGAAAATTAGTAGTCATTCTCTGGAAACAAGTAAAAGTTTATGCCAAACCAATTTATTTGAAGAAATAGTGATTTTTCTCTTTGTCCTTGTTTTGGGGTAAGAGCATAATTATTTAGTTAGTTTTTAATTAGTAGGTCATCTTATAGTTAATAATTGACTTTTTCCCTCTCACCACTTTTGTGTCAAAGGTAGAGGAGGTCAGTCAGCCTTGCGTTTTGCCCGTTTAAGAATGGAGAAGCGACATAACTATGTTCGGAAAGTAGCTGAGACTGCTGTGCAGCTGTTCATTTCCGGGGACAAAGTGAATGTGGCTGGCCTCGTTTTAGCTGGATCGGCTGACTTTAAAACCGAACTAAGTCAATCTGATATGTTCGATCAGGTGAGAAGTAAATGCTCCATTGTGTAATTTTCTGGTGGGAGTAGTGGGTCCTCTGAGCACCAGGACATGCACATCTTTATTTTTACTATCTCTGAGTTGGCAAATTTCAGGTGTTTATTAGGAAACATTCCCCTGCACTTTTAGGGACATTTTTTCTTTTGAAATCAACCATGTTTAAATGGGATCTTTCTGATCCTGTGGAGAGGCCCATGGTCAAGTGGGTTGCCATACTTGGCTTTAAAATGGAGTTTGATTTCAAAGGAACTAGGAGATGTTTTTTCCTTTTTCTGATTTATTCTTGGAGGTAAGTAAAGCAGTAATGTGACAGAGCTGATTAAGCCTAAATCATTTAATCCAGGAAGATCTTTTGGTTCATAACTTAGGCTTGACCATAAAACACATTCCCAAAGATCTTTTGGGGAGAGGGGTGGTAGCATTATAGTAGAAGTTCACCAAAGAAGCTGTCTTGTACTATAACACTTGGATAGCAGAAACTAATGATTCTCCCTTTCCTTCACAAGAAATTTAGTTTCATTTGTATTTCATAAGTTAGCCTCTTATAGGACTAATAGAATTTGTGATATGATTAGCTGGGGAAGTATATCCCGGCAATGTTGCTCACTGAAATTTAAGTTAATGCATAAATTGGGCTCTTTCCCCATATTCTCCCTCTTTAGACTTCACTGATCACATTGCTGAGTTTTGCATGCCATTAAGAGGTAGTGGGTCTTGCCCTGACTGGTGTGGCTCGGTAGATTGGGCATCATTCTGCAAACTGAAAGGCCACCAGTTTGATTCCCAGTCAGGGCACATGCCTGGGTTGCGGGCCAGGTCCATGGTTGGGGGCATGTGAGAGGCAACCGACTGATGCTTCTCTCCTTCTCTTTCTCCCTCCTTCTCCCTCTCTAAAAATAAGTAAATAAGTAGTCTTTTTTAAAAAAAGAAAAGAAGAAGTAGTGGGTCTTGGTGAAGGTGTTTTTGAAGTACTAATTATGTTTTTTTGTGTGTGTCAGAGGTTGCAATCAAAAGTTTTAAAATTAGTTGATATATCCTATGGTGGTGAAAATGGATTCAACCAAGCTATTGAGTTATCTACTGAAGTCCTCTCCAACGTGAAATTTATTCAAGAGAAGAAATTAATAGGTATCAGTGAAATGCAACTTACTTACTTATTCTGTGAAATGTTTTTATATGTATATACATGATTGTATGAAACACGACGCTGAAAAGGTAAGAGGAAGATTTAGCATTTTTATGTAAGATCTTCCTCAGTGGAATAATTTTTAGTCCTCCTTTAGTCATTAGGTCTAATAATATGTTTATATTTCCACTATTTTTACCCTTTGACAATAGGAACCCTATTTTAGTCTTACTTCCCATGTTACTTATCCTTTGTAATAGAGTGGTAGAGAGCCTGAATTAAAGATTAGTGTGGCTGTTTGGCTTTGTTTCTGACCTAACTGAGCACACACATTTCCAAAGGGTTCTGTGTTTGGCCCAGCTATTGCTTCTTTAGAGTCAGTTTCTGGAGCTTCAACCAGTGGTATTTGTCACTGATTTGGGGCACTTACTCATTTTTAAGTTGGGCTTTTATTCCCCCTCCCCCCCCCAATCTATCTATCTATCATCTATCTATCTATCAATCATCTATCTATCTATCTTTATCTCTATCTCTGTCTATATCTCTGATTTTGAGTGTAAGAGGGTCTGTATCTACAAAGAAAACTTTAATATATGTCCTTATTGACCTGTCCCTAATCACAGGACGATACTTTGATGAAATCAGCCAGGACACGGGAAAGTACTGTTTTGGAGTTGAAGATACACTAAAGGCTTTAGAAATGGGAGCTGTAGAAATTCTAATAGTCTATGAAAATCTGGATATAATGAGATACGTTCTTCATTGCCAAGGCACAGAAGGTATGAGAATTAGAAGATGGGGTTGCTCTGTGTTACTGACCTGTGTATTCAGGAATCCTGGGGTGGAGATTAGGGGAGATGGCTGATGCAGGAGCAATGAGAAGGCAGATCTGTACCTTATTCCCATCTCTTTCATCCTGTAGCATGTTCCTACATAGTTTCTATTTGAACTGATAAATGTCTCCTTAAGGCTGTGAGATTTTTTAGAGGAGGACTGTATCTTGAATGTCTTCAGTGTTCCCTCACGATGAGAGCAGGGTACCCAGTAGACACAGTTCATGCTGACTAATAAATATGTGGAAAAAAGGTTGATAGAATGAGTTCAGGAGCCCTTTCATCTAATCTAACTCCTCTCATGGGACTTAACACTTATTAGTATTTAAGAATCAGGTTAACACATTTTCCCCCCAATGTTACAGAGGAGAAAATTCTCTATCTAACTCCAGAACAAGAGAAGGATAAATCTCATTTCACAGACAAAGAGGTATGTGATTGTGTTCTTGGTTCAGTGGTACATGCAAGGAAAGAGAAATCCATATGCTAGAGCACTGGCAGCATAAGAGCATCCATCTGCCTAGGAAACCAAACCTTATATTTGTCTGCTGAGGGCAGCAGGAGGTGGTCGGCTCCTATGTGCCACATACCAGTCTGATTCCAAGGAAGGAGGCCAAGTTGTGGTTCCTTATTTTTTAAGTAGTTTAATATTTTCATCTGCCTCTCCTGCACCATGAAACCTATGCTGCTGTTTTCACTTACTGTATTAGCTCTTCTACTGAAATGGCTTCTGTAGGTTTGGTGTAAATGGATCGCTGCAGCTTAAGGTGCCACCTACCCGGCACAGGTACTTTTATGTGGTAGCCTCCTCCAATTTTGAGAAGATTTTTTTCTTTTAATGAGACTGCTCAAAAAGCAGTTTTGGTCTGTCTTGTCTCTTCTGGGCTATTGAATGCCTAGAGACAGTTTACAGCAGCCTGGCTTCTAGAGACGACAACAGTATCCATATGCTGAAAAACTGGAAAGAGTGTGTTGACATTTCATTATTGAGACTAGAGCCTTGGGGGGGTGATGTTGTTTGAAGTAATGGGAATTTCTGTGCTGTTACACTTGTGTCACCAGAAACCGGAATTTACATGCATACATACAATGAGGGGGAGAATGGTGGGGGTAGGATTGGGGGTCATTCAATCTTGATGTATTCTAATTCCATTGTTTCTGTATCTCATGGTTGCCCTGAAGACAGGACAAGAACATGAGCTAATTGAGAGCATGCCCCTGCTGGAATGGTTTGCTAACAACTATAAAAAATTTGGGGCTACATTGGAAATTGTCACAGATAAATCACAAGAAGGATCCCAGTTTGTGAAAGGATTTGGTGGAATTGGAGGTGAGTAGCCAATTGGAAAACTAAACTTAAAGCCAAGGTGTCAGGCCAAGGCCTTTCCTGGAACATCCCAAAATGATGTTACTACTCTCCCCCCACCCCACCATTGATTGAAAGAGAAACATCCATTTGTTGTTCCGCTCATAGAAGCATTCATTGGTTGCTTTTTGTATGTGCTCTGACCTGGGATCAAACCTCGAAATCTTGGTGTATTGAGACAACACTCTAACCAACTGAGCTACCCAGCCTGGGCCAGGAGCACTTTTTAATCAGTACCTCTTTGCTTTCTATAATTCTGCAGTGAAGTGGGCCTTCTGCATTCTGTGAACACAGGTGATTTATTCTTTGGTTTCTGTTTCCAGGTATCTTGCGGTACCGAGTAGATTTCCAGGGAATGGAATACCAAGGAGGAGACGATGAATTTTTTGACCTTGATGACTACTAGGTAGTCGACATGGGTCCGGCAAAATGTGCCTCACCCTCCAGCATCCAACCCAAGGAGCATACCCGTGGTGGAATCCAAACAGATCCCTGCCTTACAATTGGAACATTTCCAGAACTTAATCCATGAGCATTGGATATTGAAAAGAAAACCGAAACAAAACCAGACCCAGCCCTACACTTTGGTTTGTCATGGTGTCAGCGCAGCAGCTACAACTAAGTCCTAAATGCCACTTTGGACTAATTTAAACAAGAATCCCAGTTTTTACTTTTACTCGATGGTGAAATTGGTTGCTCTTGTATTTTATGGAAAAAAATGATTTTTTTAACCTTCATACATAGAAGCAAAAATACCTTAACTGCTGTAAACCTTCAAAAGTTAATAGAAATGAGATCATACTGGTTTGTTTCTTATTTTGATTGGAAAAAATTAAATTGCTGCATTTCGCAGTGACCCATTTACATGGCATTCTCAGCTTAGACTGCATAAGAAGAAATACATGTGGTGAAATGTTGGAACCATTTCTCTCTTGGTCTCTTGTTTAATGTTGTGAAAGGGTGAGCTAATAGGCAATTTCAATTCCACTCCCTCACACTACCCCTCCCACCTCTAGACTGTCAGTTTCAAGGATGCAAATTGCATTGTAAAGTCAAGCTGACACATGAAGCATTTGAGCCAGTGCACTGTTTCCCTCCATCTGTTTTGCAGGCACATTTGTGCAGGGGTTTGGGAGCCCTTTAGCATCAGTTGCTTTGACAAGGGTTTCCAAGATCTTAGTCTACTAGAAACCAGCTTGGGATGGACATGATGGGGCTTCTGTGCTATTGGGAGAAATAAAACATGCAATTTAAGTGGAAGCAAAGAAATTTAAAGAATATTTTATTTTGCTTGGGTCTGTCCTTGGTAAAGGGGAGGTGGTTGTGTTTTCCTTGTGTTGGATGGCATGAGATTATGTGAATGTTTTTGATTTTCTAAAAAATGAACTGCAAGGTTTTTCACAGGAACGACAGATAAGACATGTATGGCTGCATGTAATTATAAACCCCTGACCTCCTGGTGGGGTTGGAGCATCTTTTTCGAATATGGGACTTGCAAACACCTCTCATGAGAAATTATGGGGGTGGGGTGGGAAGGGCCGGGGTGGGAAGGGATGGGACACAGCTTCTGGCACCAAGGACTTAACCATGTTGGGTCCAAAAGTGGGCCTAAAAACCTGAAGCTCATGCTTCACAGCTGGACTGTGAGTTGGACTTGACCCCAGCTGACATGCAAGGTCATGGCGTGCTCGAGGTGGTGACTGAACAAAGTGTATGGGATGTGCCCAGTGGTAGCAATGGATAAAAGTATACCAGATGGACTTTGAAGGACCAAAGGTTTTAAAAGTCAATTGGTATCACCCCCACACTGATAGGATAGTGGGGTGCATTTGGTTTTCAAATTGGGTACTTTCAACACTTTAGTGCCTGACTGCTGTTCTTCATTGACTTGACTCAGTCACTTGTAGCTTTATTGGTCTGAACCTTGTTCCCAGGTTGCAGACCTGCCTATCGTTCCAATAATCCTGTTTCACTTGAATGAAGGGAGTATGTCTTAAATGTAAAGTTTCTGGTTCTCGCACTGTACTCTAAGGTCCAAATGACTGTCAATGTGTAACCTGATGTCTCAACCCCCAGTGAGAAGAGTCAGTTCTTTGGTATTCAACGTGGAGGCTTCACTGGAACAGGCTTTTGCTTTGGGCTCTGCTGTTTGTTTGCAGAACACCCAAGAGCGAGCAAACATGCTCTCTTCGCAGCAGTACCTTAGGGTTTTGCCATTGTAAATGGGTCTAATGTGATATGACAAGACCAGAGAAATTGGATGTAAATTTACATTTTTGAATATGCTTGTTGTTTCACATGATACATTTAGGGTATGCAGCTCCTTTTGTAGTTTTTATTTTTACTATTTAAGTTTGGAAATGATGCCAAATTTTTGTATTTCTTTAATCAATGTGTTCTCTTCAGTGATATATATTGCATTATATATTGATGTGTGTATCAATATATACTGATATGTATTACACTTAACATGCAAACACATCAATACGAGGGGGTGAAAACCGTAGCCTTTGCATTCTCTATAGCCTCTACAGAGAGATCCTAAGCAGCAAATTCTTGGTGTTGTGATGTACAGAAATGGAGAAGAGTATTAAACCATATTTAAGAATATACTTTGTGTGCTTGAGATTCTTTAGGATTGTTCCTAGCAAGGCCTGAATGTGGAGATTGAGTGAGCTCTTTAAGGCATGTGTCAGTTTAGTCATGGCTAACTTTTCAGCCTTAGATTTTAGTTGTCTTTGCTACATTTTCCTTATGGAAGGGAATGGGCAAAGAATGTCTGAAGTCATGACCTCAAAGTTAATACCAGAGGAAGGAGGGTTCAGTTACTGGGGCCAAACTACTTTGTGTCTTCTCCAATTCCCCATGCCCACCAAAGGGAAAAACCTCACTTACTTTTTTAAGGCATTAGTATGTTATCCCATGTAAGTCAACATTCCATGGAGATAGATGATGTACTCCATTTTACAGGTGATAAGACAGATCAGAGGAGGTTAAGTAGCACCTCTTTAGTAGCAAAGCCAAATTTTTCCTGGGCCTAATTTCAAAATTGATTTTCTACATCTGGTTTCCTTTGAGTTGATAGAATGGCACAGATGGAAGGAGAGAAACTAAGCTTCCCACTCTCAAGCTTGCATGCCTGGCATTGGGTACAAGAGTAAATAACCATCCAGGAGCAAGCCAGTGGCTGGTGCAGTTGGAGTACTGCTTCTAGGCCAGGTCAACAGCACTAGAAGATTGATTTTCACCAAAGGTTGAGGTGCTGGAGGTCCTGTGTGATACTTGAGGAAGCTTAGAACCAGGATGGTGGTACATGATTTACTTACTCCAGATTTAAGAAAATGTTTTCAGTAAAATTGACCTATAAATGGCACATCTGTTGCTTTGCATTTTCAGCATACTTTGACCCATAGTCTAATCTGATCTAGATGATAACTTTGGTGAAACCCAGTCACCCTCTGGGAAAGGCAGACCTGTCTGCACATGCCTTTCCTCGTGCGTCCCTACGTGCTGTTTGAAGTCAGAAGCTGGGAGGTAGCACAGTGGTGCCGGATATGTGGGCTGTTGGTGCTTGCCTGTCTGGGCCTGCAGCGCTTGCTGTCTTTTGTTCTCTGGCTCCAGTTCTCATGCCATGATGCTCCCAGACAGGCACAGTGGATTCAGGGCTGAGTGCCAAGGTGGAATTTTAAACCTTGTGCCAGCTTCTCCCTTGTTGCCAATTTGAGTGAGTGCCTGTTGAGACTTCCCACCTGCCAAGTCCCACCCTGATGGGATTGTGCCTCCGGGGACATAAGGCTTGGCCTGCCAAGGAGTGTGGAAGCCAAGGAGGGTGCCAAAGTTGCTGAGGACACCGGTGAACAACAGGAATTAGAGGTGCATGTGAAAACAGTTTACCTCCAGGGTTCTCTGATAACCAAACCCTGTCTGGGAACTTGGTTGCAGGTATAGTCTGAAATTGTTTGGCAGGCTCATCCTGAGGCTCAGTTAAGAGCCAAGGCAGAGTTGGCTTTTTGGACAAACAGCTCTGGTGCTGGCTCTGCCAATAGCTGGGCTTGTGGTTCTAGGTAAGTCCCTTTCTTTCCCTCAGTTTTTTTTTAGTGTAAAGAAGGTTGTGAATCTAAAGATCTTTCCAGGTGTAAAGCTTATCAGGACAGTATTATGGTGAGCAAGATACCTGACATCTGGCTCTGCCAATGAGATTGGCAAATTACTTGATGTCTTTGAGCACCAATTTTCCTACCTGTAACAATGCCTACTCCATTATAATGATGGTAAGGATTAAGTGCAATAAGAAACGTGAAATGCATAGTACAGTGCCTGGAACTTAGCAGGGGCTCAAAGACAGAAGCTGCTGTGTCTGATAATAGTCCCACCACTAGCAATCTTGGTCCTGCAGAAAAAGCCAGGGTGAGTTTGCACTGGCAAACCACGAGGTGGTGCTAGAGTTAAGGATACTGGCTGCGGAAATGCGATGCTTCTGGTGGGGAGAGTTGTGACAAGCATTAAAATGTGCCTGGTAATAGCCTGTCTACCCTTAAAATTTAGAGAAATGGAGAAAGCAAACTACCAAAGGAAATAGGGATAAGTAAACAGGAAACTCAGGAGTCTCCTTCTGGGCTTCAGGCTAACCCATCTGTAAAATAACTACAACTATTAACATTTGTTGAACAGTTACCAAGCACCAGGCAGGGTGCTGTGTCACGTGCATTATCTCATTTAATCCTTAGAAAAACAATGAGGTAGATAGTTTTGTATCTGCCAGTCCAAGTTCATAAGCTACTAAGTAGCAAAATCTGGGACTCAAGGACAAGTCTATTAGGTTCCAAGGCCAGTGGAAATGCAGGTCATTCCTCGCTCAAGAAAGGAGTTAAGAATTGGTGGTACTGCTGAGAACATAGGTGGTGGACTCATCTCACCAGCCCTTGTGTTTTCGGAGACAACCAATGGCTCAGACTGCATCTGGAAGGCACCCAGCCAACAGTTCTGACCTTGCCCAACACACCACGCTTTGGTCAGCTCAGCTTTTTCACAGCCACAGTTGAAGATGGATAAAAGGAGCTCCCTTGGACTCTGTAGAGGACCCTTATACTTTAACATCTTCAAAGAAGAATACATATGTAGTGAAATTTCTCAGAGACTAGGGCGTCTGCCCCCACATTTAAATATGTTGCCAGCAGAACAATTAACAGAACTGGAATGTGGACTATAGATAAAAGTATTGTATCAATGTTAAATCTGTATTTGATAACTGTACTGTGGTTATGTAAAAGAATACTCTTTTTCTTAGGAAATACACATTGAACTATCAAGGGAGCTAAATAAGACATTCATTTGTATTTTCAGAAATGCCGAAGGAAAAGGTAAGAGCATCGTTTAACTACTGTCCTCAATGGTTTAGGGTCAGCTTGACCATCTGTTTTGGAATGAGTGTGACGATGAGTGTTTAGGTTCTAACTGGTTCACAAGGTATTTAAAACAATTTTCATTTGATTCTTTTTTTTTAAGATTTTATTTTTAGAGGGAAAGAGGAAGAAAAACATCAGTGTGGTTGCCTCTCATGTGCCCCCTACTGGGGACCTGGCCTGTGACCCAGGCATGTGCCCTGACTGGGAATTGAACTGGCAACCCTGTGGTTCACAGTGCCAGTGCTCAATCCACTGAGCCACACCAGCCAGGGCTTGTTTGATTCTTTATTCAACTTTGGTTTTTACTTGGAATTTGGGTTTGAGTCAGAGGTCAGCATTTAAAAGAGTTGTGCTAAAGGGTTTTTTCCATTCAGGAGAAATTCTTACTCTGAATCAGCTGGTGGGGGTGTGGGCTGAGCCTGGGATTTGGGCCCAAACTGGAAGAAAGAGGAGCAGAGGCAGAGCCAGGAGAGGAGCTGCTGTCACATGCCTCAGAAATTAAATCAGCTTTGGGGT